CCCGTTTGCATGCGCGACGACCACGTGTTGTACCTCCATTAACTCGCCAGCACATGGCAAACAGGCGTCAATAGGCGCGTGTAATGTTCTTAAATGAGTCCAGATTCACTCTGGATTTCACCGATAGGCGTGCTCGGGTTTGGAGGCGTGTAAATGAGCGTCATGTTAACGTTAACGTCAGAGAGCATGACAGATTCATATATCAGCAAGTGGTAGGTATCCCCATGGGCACCAACTGTGCATCTTTTTTTGCTGATTTGTTACCCTATTCCTACGAAGCCGATTACATCGGGCACTCGTAAAAACAAATAAACGATTATATATATAGTCAGACATTTTAATTTCACTTATCGATATATTGATGATGTTCTATCACTGAATAACCCCAAATTTAGTGATTATGTTGAATTCATATATCCTGATGAGCTCGAAATTAAAAACACTACTGACAGTGACAATTACGCTTCCTACTTGGATCTTCGTCTGGATTTTCACAAATGCCATAAACTAAGGTTAAATACGATAAACGTGATGACTTTGACTTTCCGATTGTTAACTTTTCATTTATTAGTAGTAACATTTCAACATGTGTCTCAGCTAATTCCTTACGCGAGAGCTTGTTCCTTTTATTCTGATTTTTTAAATAGATCGAGGCATTTGTCATCTAAGCTTCAACTACATGAATACTTGCGCACTAAACTTATAAAAACCTTTAAAAAGTTTCATGTCTCTCTCGGCTATTATTCTAGATATATTTAATTGACTCTTATACTATCTCCCTGATTATGTCTACTACATCGTTAACACTGTTCATCGCGTGTATTTTGCATACCGATAATCCACTGGCCAATTACGCTATTTTACCGATATGTCGTCTAATAGTTTGGATGCAGCTATGGCGGGTGTGGCGCCAGGCAGGGTAAGCTTACTCTTCCGGACACCTATTACCACTGTTTCTCGTGTATTTTGTACACGGTGAACAGTCTATTTGCTGATTACACTGTTTTGCCTATACCGTTTTTTTAGGACTTCGTATATTGTCTAATGGTTTGGATTGTTCGTACTTGGTTTTATTTTATTATCTGTTATGGTGTGGGAAGAAATCGCCATATGACTGGCAGAACGGACTTGCATGTTGTTCAAGGAAGGGTCACTGGTGTGTACTACCGTGACCCCATCCTGGCACGGATAGTTCTGCACTTTGCTCAACGTGCAGGTCGCCGTTTCATCTTTCAAGATGATAATGCTCTGCCCACCGCGCTCGTGTCCTGAATGACTATCTCCAGCCTCACCATAATGTCCATATGCCTTGGCCAGCCACGAGTCCTGACCTTTCCCCTATAGAGCATGTCTGGGACATCGGGAGACGTGTTTGTCGACGTCAACGTCAGCCGGCAGCACTGCAAGAGGAGTGGGTCAGATTGTCCCAAATCGTGATTGGACGGTTGGTTATAAGGAGCATGCCACGACGAATTGCTGAATATCTGAGGATTGGTGGAGCAATTACTCGTTATATAATAGGAACCACAATTAAATAGGCCATGATAACTTTGATAAGAAAGACTAACACGGGGTCAACATGTGTCATTGTTGAAACGGTAATTCTTTTTACCGTATTGAATTTATTGCGATACCCATTCTGGCCCGGTTAAGTCTCGCTTCCAATAATGATAGAGATTATACGTCAGGTACAAGCCTACAGGGGTGACATAGTTTAAGTGACGCAAGAAACAAATATTAATAAAAGCAAACTTTTTGGTAAGCACTTTTTGAAATGTTCTAAGAATCCTCCCAAAATGTATTGTTGTTACCAGAATTAAGGGGACGTTGGTGCTGACATTATGACCCCACATAAAATATGGGCGTATACAATGGCAAAAAACTTATTACAGACCTAGATAGGCTATGATAAACTAGGTTGACTACAATTTTAACTGATATCAGAATGAAATATTGGCCTAGCCAAGTAGCACTGATGACGCAACGCATCTAGCAACATCTAGGGCTTCCGGCGACTATAGTCGCGATTTTCGGCAACTACTTACTAGATAGAAAGTTACTTCGAGCATAACCTACTTTATGCGATCCAAGTTATAGATGTAGTAACCTTTCGTTGCTTTAAAAAGTTATTCTTTATTATTTAGAATTTAATTTTTATGAAAAAATGTCAACATCCTGCTTGTTGTCGACCAGGATACTCAATTAGACAAGTTTCAATATCTTATAATATATATGTATATTAGGAGTGTGGGGGGAATATTTTATTTACAGTTCAAGTTGATAGGGTGACCCACCATAAATAAATATCTCCATATATCTCGACAATTTCGCCACAATATTTATATATGTGCCAAGCCTCAAATCAGTTTCACACAATTATAGTCACTAAATAAACGATCATGTTGTACTTAATAAGCTATGACCATTAATCATCTATAAATAATAGACTGAAAACTGGTTCCATGTGTCGTCCATAACATCCAGACACTTTTGAGTAAAAGATAGGTTACGTGCCCTTGTTTTGAAATTAGAGTCGCTTAACCAGTCTATCGACCATTCTAAGGCTGATTGACAGGTCGGGATAATCAAGACTACTTTTTTACGAAACATAACAGAAAGCTAGAACAAGAAATTGAATTAAGAAATGAGCACGTTAGCTAGCTCAACAATTGTTTTAAGAAGCTTGTAAAAGTAAAATGAAACTACTGCTAGTATCATGTTCCTGTCTAACCCGAGTGTTTCAGAGATAGTATTTGTACTAAACCAAAATATGCCGCTCTTAACGGTACAGTTAATGATAAAGCGATTTAAAAAATGAAACGAACGTAATTTCTAAATCTGCTGTAATAACCAAGAAGCTTAATTTTACTGCTATTCAAAATCGTCAACAATAAATTTTTTACGGCTGTAATAGTTGATAGATTTGTAGAGAATTGCACGTGCCATGGCTATTTATAGTATCATACTGTCAGAAAGTTGGCCTCGACACGGCGAATGTGCACGCTTCAGTGGTAGTCTCGAACTATCAGCGGTTGACTGTATTTCTGTAGGTGCATGGGCCACGGTCAGTTGGGGATTTTATAATTATCGGTCACAACTTCTGGCTATAATACAATTAAACTACACATTGCCATATGCAGGATTTCGTATCTCTGAAGTGAAACAACTGATAACCGCTATCTTTCTGATAAAGTCTGCAAAGGAGTGACGAATTTCGGCGCCTGGATTTTTCTCACCGTCTGCCATTTGGGCAGCAGACATAACCGAAACAGGTAGGGTATGTTTTAAAGGAAAATATTTTTCGATGATTTGACGACTTGAAGATTAAAAAATGGTAGGAGGGTTGAAGAATTGGGCCGTATAAGAATGGCATTAATATTTATAGTACCTAATTAATTTTTGCGCTAGAAGGGAATGGAATTAATCGTTTAGACAATTGCTACAGGAAAAAATCGCCTCAACCGGTGGGTCCAGATAAGTTCTCGAATAGTATAAGTCATGGTGTAAAGGTTTGGTATGACCTATTCTATGAATTATGTTCATTGTCTTGAATTTTAGAATTAGCTTCATAAATTTTTTAGCATGACAGGGCGAAAGACGACATCTCCGTGTTTCAGAGAAAGGTCTAAATCTATTCTGAATACCGCTGGCTCGGTAGCCTGTAGATCGGGTGTTCGATCCCTGCATTAGCTGAGAAAGTTCATTCAGATTTTCCGGCGTGGTTCCCCCTTGTCAGTGATGCAGGACGGAGGGCCTGACAAGGACAGCTGTCTAGTCCTTCGGATGAGACGAAAACCCGAGGTCCCGTGTATACATTGGAATGCACGTAAAAGATCCCTTGGCAGTTGGAATTCGATATAAGAGTAGGCGATAGTGCCGCTGCCCGGGCAAAATTTCCCTCATAGCACACTGTATGGCGTATGCCCGTCTTCATTAGCCCAGCATAGGAGTAGGACGTTAAACCCCATTTCATTTCATTTCATTTTAAAATTTGGTCTGGTGATTGCAGACCTTGTGGGGATGAACTCTGTCGATTTTTAGCATTCTAAGACTGTTTGTGCCAGGATTATTTATTGTTAACACGTTAGAGCCAGGGGTTTTTGTAGGAATAGTTTTGATATGAAGCATAGGTACAGTGGACAGCAGATGATCCCTATCGATTTTCAGCTTTTTGCGTTTTGGAGTTGCGGTCCTTAATTTTTGTAGGAATAGTTTTGATATGAAGCATAGGTACAGTGGACAGCAGATGATCCCTATCGATTTTCAGCTTTTTGCGTTTAGGAGTTGCGGTCCTTAATGTAATTCTGACATTGTGGTATGTCGTTAACGGAACGCGGTAGAGGCTAGAGTTTTGACGGATTTTGTATGAAACACTGGGGTCATGATCGGATGGAGTTGTCCACCTTTTCGAAAAATCTTCTTAACACGATAGGGGCAACAGTTTTTAACATATATTTTTCAAATGTGGTTTGAGGAGTGGGGTTCAGAAGAGGACGAACCTAATCGATATTTATAGTTCCGTGGCTTTCTGTTCTGGAGTCACCACCCCTTCTCCGAAAAGCTTGTTCACGCAATACGGTATTTACAGGTCGTTTCAAAATTAGTGTGAAGCATTTGGCTCTAAGATCTCGGTTTCTTTCGATATTGGCATTTATCGGATCATACTTTCCTGGTTTATAGTTCCTGATTGTACGAAAAATCCTGTGTTTAGCTTGTGGGCCCATTACAGGTCACAATTTTTAAATTTTAAACCCATTCAAACATATAACCGTTACAACATGAATGCGGTTGAGTTTGAGTTTCGTGAAGCTATATCTATTAGTAATTAAAGGTGATCAGGCTAAACCGACCAGTTACGAAACTTCGAAGTTACCTGTACCTCCCATCTTATTTATATCCCATCAGCTAGAATTTATAGTCCTGACCTACTTTTTAGAAATTCTACAAGTTTAAATATCTCTATTGTCCGTGTGTAATAAAACTTTGTGTATTCTTTTTAGAAGATATGTTTCTGTCGGCAGTACTTTTAACATTTGGCTTGGCCTGCTCACAGGCTGCTGTGGTGGTAAATGTCACCAGTTATCTACGTCTATCCGACCATCTGGATCGATTAAACCTGTTTGGTGGAAATGCCGATGCCATGGCTTACGATGTTCAAGAACAGCTTTTATATGTTATTGGTAAGGATTTCATTCTCCATTCGAAAATGTGTGCATGGTGTTAACTTTCACAGTTTCCAGCTTATTTGAAAGATTATTACATTTTTTCTTTTGTTTATTCCACCCCCCCCCCCCAAAGACGAACCTGAAAATGTATTGATTTCTTTTTATATTTATATATATATATATATCACTTTTTCTTTCTTTCATCCAAAGGAAGTAGTAACGATATGCTAAACGTGGTTGACGTCGCTGATAAGTTAAATCTAAGAGTGCCGTTCAAGCACCATTTCAGTGAAATCAGTGACGGTTTGCCCTTAGACGTAGCAGTTTGCCGTTACAGTGGGCTCAATGACGTTGCCCGGTTAGCTATCAGTTTCGCCGACAGAGACCTAACTTACGAAGGTCACATTGAAATTTTCGACTTGTTGGACAGAAACAATTTGGTGCTTACCCTTCGAGAAAGAATCCCAGGTACGTATGACTTAATATACACATATATATATATATTGTAACAGCATAGTAACGCATTAAAATGGCCTGACGATTCGTTTGATAACGATGAAAGTATTAGCCAAAATTTTAATTGTTAGTGTTTTTTTCTCTAATACTTGAATTTTGCTTATGTTTAACTGAGAGTTAGATCGTTTTATATATACTGAGCTCTATGGAAAACGCATCACTTAGTTTTTCGTATAACAAAATGATCCTATAAACATATCTTATTTATTTTGCTTCTTATTATGAAAAATATTCAAATGGGAACACATCAATAACAACACATTTGTACACTTATGGATGTTTAATCTGTAATTAACGGTACAAAGTCAGAGGGGTCAAAACCAAAAGTACGACACAGATGTCCGTAGCGCGTGTGTCCTCCACGTGCTCTTACGCACGCTGTGCAGCGACGTCACATGGAATTTACCAATGTTTGAAAGAAGGCCTGGGGCAAATTGTTCCATTCTTGGACAAGAGCAGCTTCTTAAGCAGCAATGATGTATGCATCTGTGGTCTCCGATACAGACGGCGTCCAATCTCATCCCAGACATGTTCTATCGGTGCCATGCCATGAAAAGTTGAAGATATATATGAAAAGTTGAAGATAACTAATCTTAGTATTAGATACACAAAAATATAAAAGTTTTTGAAAAAAGAACTACAATATTTGTCGATTACTAGCACCTTCGCTCTTTTTAAGCCATCAAAAAGCCATTATTTCCTTTATATCAAACAATATTTAAAATAAACACAGCCTCGCCTACTTAGAAAATATCACCAGCTGATGCTTATTTTACTTCAAAAGTCCGTATCTTTGTAATGGCCTTCGCACACGTTGGACACCATCTGTCCTTGAACAGGGAATTTTTGCTGAAAAGCATTATTAATGTACTCTGGAAGAATCGTATTATGAATTGAATTAATTACACATCAATAAGTTAATTCATGTCACATGAATACAGTCCAATATCCTTAATGAAGTCGATTGTGAATTCCTTTTTTATTCGTGACTACCATCAATTATATATACAGTAATATTGTAATTCAGTAATTGGGTAAACCGTAAATGTCTTATTGAGGGGGTAGATTTGGTAGTTCAAAGAGGTCAAAACAAGATGGAACGGAAGGAACATCCGGCACCTGAAATGAAAATCTTTCGCAGTCCCCCTTTTGTAGCATACTTCTATAATGTCTGGTTAACTCGTTTGGTATTAAATCGCATAATTATATTAATGTTGATATTCTAGTTCAGCCAGATCCTAAGAGTATTAAGTTTACTGAAGAATGTGATAGATTGGTCGTTGCATGTGAATCTAAACCTGGTGCACGTTTGGGTAATTTTTATGACCCTGTTGGTCACGTAGATGTCATTCAGCTAAATGCCTTTGGTAGTTCTACTGTTCATAAATTGGATTTCGGGTAAGTTAGAGTAAGATTATATTGAGTTTAACATCTCGATTAAAATTTGGGTTGGCATGACCTAACGGGTGTCATGGCCTCAAACCCACATGTGTACGTGTCTATAAGTAGGGGTTTCTCCAGGTCCTCTGATTTCCTCCCACTGATAAAGACCCCATACGCGCAAATGGATTATAGAAATGAAATTGCATCGTATGTTAGTCTCGAAATGACCTAGTATGTGGTGATTGAACGTAAAACCCCACTTTTCAACTAACATAAGATAAACATTTGTTTGTATTCCGTTGACACGTATTCATACCCGGTTCGAAAGCCTTCAACTAATCTATGATTTGTTTTAAATTCCAAAAATTGACATTACATGAAATATATATTTTAGTCCCGATAACAGCCAGATTCGACAAGTATACAGCCAATACACAGGATCTGAAACTATTGTGAACGATTTAGAGCCAGAAACCGTTGTCATCGGCTCAAATCACACTGCTTATGTAATTCTTCAGGTATTTCAAAAAATCACTATCTACAATAATGTAACTAAAAACAATTAAAATATCAGGACGCGAAGGGTTTTGGCTATTGCTCCAGTTTTATTTATCGAATTTTTAGTAAAAATCGATGACTGAATATTCTTGTCTTTTGTTAAATATGTTCACAGCTTACTCCAATTTGATTTTTGGTGGGAAGTCAGAAGTTAGAAATATAGAGTGCTACTTGTCACTGCCAATGATGGACTGTACCCTTTTGATTTTTTGAAAAGCTAATCTGATAACAAAAATGACTAACCATTGATCATTTTAATTTTACAGGAAAACAATGCCATGGGAGGATTTCTTATTGACAATATAAACTCACCTATCCAACTCTATGATTTAGGTAGCAAAGATTTCAGTCAGTATGATGTTGATACAAGTGATCAGGATCTCGGTAAGCGAAACATTTTAAAGTCTTTTCGAAACATGTTAAGGACAGGTCACGCTCAACTCATTCTTCTTAACCACTAGAATAAATATTATCGATGTAACCGGATGCAAGTCAATATCACGACAATTGTTAATCATCAAACACTAGATGTTCCGGTTTAGTACTGTCCCAAAAAATAAATATAATCACAAATAAGGTAACTGTCAGTATATTACACAGATGATAGCCCAAGTGGTGATGGTATCAACCTTGTAAGAAGAAACGTTAGAGGGTTTTACCAGCCGGGTGATGTTGCGGTTTTTGTTCATAATGGTGAAGATTATTTGATCACTGCTGATCAAGGTGCAGTCAAAGAATATACAGCGGCCGTCGAAGGTGTCGACTTTCAAGAAGCTGTTCGGGGTCGTACTATTCCAGGTAATGTCCTTAGAAATTGTTTGTCGGGGTTTATAATGCAAAACAATGCCCATTCATCTATATCTAGAGAAGTCCCTTCAGTAAAGCACCAAACTTGTTATTTATAGAAATTTAATCATCAACAGACGCCTAAGCAATTTTTAGTAGTATCACGACAATTCCAGTCCAAAGAACCCTCCCATCCCTATTAGCATATTATAATACAATATCCATGTTTCTTTCAGATGTCGATTTAGATGTAGATGATACCACAAGACAAGATTTATCTAACAATGCTGCTATGGGTACGTCAAATGAGACATTATAGCGGGTACAATATTATGTTCGCCGATTTACAATCTTGTTAAAAGATATATATTGCTGACATGCTTCATAGAATTTTCAAAGTTACCTATATTACATTGAAAACATGTTTCATACAGTTTTCAATGTAATATAGGTAACTTTGAAAATTCTATGAAGCATGTCAGCAATAAATTAATTATCTAGAATAGACGCATTTACTTCATTTTACGTATATTATCTACTTCTAATGGAATCTCCTAACTACGTCTACAGGTCGTCTATACGTGAGCGGACTTAAACAGGCTTCCGATGGTTTTGATCCTATCATCAGTAATAAATTCAACTCGATCAGAACATACGGAGCCCGAGGATTCTCTATCTGGCGCCCAAGTGATTTAACTCATGTTTATGAAAGTGGTGGAGAGTTTGAGTACTACATGAGAGAGGCTTACTCCAGTGTCTTTAATGGCGACTGTAACAATGGCGGAAGAACTCCTCCTCAAGATAAAGATCTCAGGTCCGATGATAAGGTTAGCACTTTTCGTCTGTATAAGCATGTACTCTTTACGTGTACGTTAACAAATGGTTCATGTCAACATATCAAAATATCCAGCCCATCGTCTAACCATAATATGAAAATGTATCATTTGCAGGGTCCTGAACCATCCAGTGTTGCAACTGGGCTGTACTTTGGAAGAAGGGTTGCTGTGATCGGCAGTGGAAGAAGCGGTGCTCTTTTCGTTTACACTATCGAGAGTCCTGATGCCACCAGCCCACCTACTGGCAATTTTCAGAGTGTCTTCAGACCGGGTAGTATTACTGGAAGCTGGTCCGATCTGTACCAGAATGACCTCGCTGGTCATCCCATAATATCTGATATTGAGTATGTTATAACTATGTTACCACATTTAACTATAATCTACTAATATGCGTTGACTGTATCTATAAGGTTAGGCACACGATATTAGATTGGACAACCTCCCAGCCGAAACCGATTACCATATTTGACTATAACATACTGAAATACGTTGAAAATATGTATGAGATTAGGCATCGATATCAGACATTATTATGAGTTACATGTCAGACTCGGTGACCTCCCACCTGAAACAGACTTCATCAAAGTAATTAAACACATGGTGTCCAAAACAGCCAGGGAAGCCCAACACACTAGACCGTTCATTAGCCCAATACAATAGGCAAATGATCTATTTTGGGAATAAGAGCTGTCTTGGGATACCTCATTCAGGGGAAGTAAATCACTTATTAAACCATTTCATGTGATGCAATCTTCGTCGTATTTCTGGGTCCGTATTCAAAGTATATCTTAAGTCTAAGATAGTCAGTTAACTACTAGATTCCACTTAAACATACGTAACTTCCTGCAATTTAAGGGTAAGTAGTATTCAAAGGCAATGCTAAGTATAAAATTTTCCCTTAAGTTAATCTGCCTTAACTTTTAAGGTTTCAATCTTTTAGCGGTATTCAAATGACTGTTTAAGTGAGGAAAATCCACTTAACTCTATGTGACCTATGGGAGGTACCTTAAAGTTAAGTGAGATTATAATGACTTCTTTTAACCGGAGTAAACAATGCAGTAGCAGGCCCGTAATGCCGATTTTAAAAGTTAGGGGATTGAGATTATTGAAACAAAGACAATGGTGCCGAACGTAGCTGGCCTCCGAGGAGATGTAACATACAGCGTTTGAATACCGATTTAAACGAACTCACTTAGTTAAGTGGAAAAATTCAGTATTTTAATTCAACGAAGACTCCCAGAATTCCATGCACACCTATGGCAATTCTCGACTAAAAAGATAATTTTCTTGGCTAATCCACTTGAACCCATATTAGATAAAACATCGTTCAAAGCCTACTGTAGCGAAAACAAATAACACGAAATAGATATTTCGCACAATATAGCCTGGTCTGTGCCGACGTGCTATTAAGCAACATTCCATTCATTCATCTAACTATGCGCTAGTTGAACTGAACACCCACCCTACTGGCAGGGAAGTTGAAATCCGGTTAGTCAAATGCGTGTATGTATGCGTAGAACTATGGCGTGATTTGCGAGATGTTCTGCATCTCTTGTGTGAAAATGTAAAGATTTTAATACATATTTCTAATTTATAAGTACGTTTTAATTTTTTTTTTAAATTGTCAAATGTATTGCAGAATTGTTGAGAATGCCGACGGAACAGCTGATGTCTTTGTTCTTGGTGCTGCCACTGGATCTCTCAGCATTTATTCCATCAACGAAGTATTGTAAACAAGGCTTCGTAATACAATAAAATATTTCTTTATATCTATATTTATTACTTTCTGATTGGATGACAACGACGAACAGGCATGCAGACGAAATAAATTCCGAATCGTCTTTTTTTCCCTATTTCTCTTATTTGATCGAGTTCGAATTGGGGACTGGTTTTTCTTCAGGCTCGGAAAATAAGAAACGGCGCAATGGTGGCCGTTCAGGTGACGATGGAATGGCCGATTTATCTTTTGCTATAACTCCCCATAATACTATAAGCTGGGTAAACATAATCAAAAGTATAATATGCAAACCATTCGTCTCCTATTATGGTAGTTATAAAACTAATGATCAGGAGAGAGAGAGAGAGAGATTTGATCTTTATTCAACACAAATTAGGTCTTTTTATTATTTTAATAATTTGAATATACTGTGATAGGAAACCGTAGAACCCTGAGAAAATTGTCACCCGGTATACTAACCGATTATTGCCACGTGTGGAAAGTTCTTATTTATCCAAATTCTAAAATCAAAAAGGCTCTCAATTCTTACAGACTAGCCATAGTTAAGGCATGGACCTTATGATATTATATACGGACCATATAAGTTAAAGCCATCTTCTAGTTAAAACCACAGACGCCCATAAAATGGGGCTAATATTTTTATAAGAGAGATAATCAAATTCAGAGGCCGACCCCCATTAATTACCCCATTGACTTCAATGTTAATTCTGGTCTCTTTGCCCGGTTGCATCTTTTTCCAAAATTTTCGTTTGGCTGAACGTGAATATTATAAATAAAACAGGCCCTTAACCCTTGGAGCACTACGCAGAGCATTGAATCATAGTCTAAAGAAGTTCCATTAATGCACACGGCTTGTCTTCTCTTGGTTAAGTAAGATCTGAACCAGTTGAACAAATTGTTGCGCAAACCAATTGCAGGATTAGCTGTAAATGGTGACATTTAATGGTCTATCCGGCAATAACTACTAAAGGTGAGCAACGTGGATTTTATACAATGCCAGTAGTTGTCACTTGCTCTGGTATGGAGGCATTTCTTTCTAGGGTGAGTGTAATACATGTACATGCGCATGCGCAGATTGTTCCTGGTCAACCTCAGATCCGCCTACCATACAGGTCTAGAAACGCCTTTAAGTGATATTGGTGTGATCAACAGAACAAACTTTACGAAAACAACATCTAGTTTTAATTGGGAATTGCGGAAGGATCAGGTTTGGCAAGATATCCGGAGGACAGCACATGTAAAATTGTTTGGTGCCATTGTGTTGGCGGGGGGGGGGGGGGGGTATATCCCTAGAGAGCAGCTTATCCGAAAGGAAACTTTGATGATGGCCAAGTTTGATAAAGATCCTTTATGTTTTCAAGAAATCTTATCTTGGTCATGTTCACAAGCTCTTCTGGGCATATAAAAGGACATAAAATGCTACAAATCAACAGGGTCCATCCTCTTTGGTCAGAATGCTTTACAGCTAACTTGAAAATTAATACAGTAAATCCCCTCACAGTCTCAAATACTTAATTCAAGCTAAATTTGAAAAATCAAATCCGTCAAAAACGGATGTGTCTACCACGTGAAAATTTCGGGGGCAAATGCCACTCCTGATAGAATACGGAGGTAAATGATAAGCCGTTTTGATTCCTTCTAGTAACCCTTTTGGATAGGTGTCCGGGGTAAAAATGCACGGCAATAGATTTCGGTGTGATGCAGCATACGGTGTTGTGACGGGCCTTCGGTGTATTCTAATGGGCTTTAGTGGTTTGCCGGATCTTTGTATTCTGGCGGGCCTTGGTGATGTGTTGGGCCACTGTTTCGGGCCGAGCCTTAGTATAGAATCGAAAATTGTGGTGGGCAAAAAACATCCATTATAATACTATAGGGCCTATATACAGTAGAGGTTATCTGAGTTCTCTTAAAAGATGCTCTGGTTAATGTATTGGAGTCGTTAGCTAGTACCAGTGACAATAAGAACTGGGTTAACAAGGATATGTCTGGTAGATAAAAATCGGGCAATGACATCATAGTCTGGCAATCCAAATATGGTAATCCCATGCTTTAGACACGCGGGCAACTGTCCTCCTTGTGTCCATATTAGTACAATGGGATTTAATCCAGGGTAGCGTGTGTGCAGCTGACCAATCCGGTAAAGGAATTACCTGGTCAATTTTCCGGGGTCTTTATATAAGAAGAGCGGGGTTAACTTTCCCTTCGGACATCATTGAGAGATCCCAGAGAAGACATCATTCGGAGTTCAGGGGAACCTCATACCCACACCCTCTCGGCAGAGAGGCTGGGAAATAGACACCATTCGGACATCATCTAGACACCACTTGGAAAAGACCGCCCCGTTAAGCCGTAGGAGAGCAATATGGTGTTGTGGGGTTCCGTCAGTAAACTTTTCCTACGAAATGGTGGGGTCGAGAGGTAGAGAGAATGATGTTAATGTTAATATATGCCTGTAATTTATGTATCCAGCGCTTGACATAAACTGAATAATCGGAGTTAAAGAAACGTTTTAACGGCCGAGATAAGGATATACACACATTGTTAAAGTAGAGTCCTAAAGTAAAGAATTACAAAAATAACCATAGACAATGCTAGACGATCACGGGGCTATTATAATATGTGGCAGTGAAGAGAGTATGCGCCATACGTTGGATGTGGGGAGATTTGTTTGAATACCTTTTCACATCTAAACATAGCATAGCACTATAAGGCATCGTGTTACACCATCACTATTCCCCCCACTCAATCTGGTTAAAATACAGATCTATATTTCGTTTCGTTTTTTTATACTTTCGATGGTCTACACTACATGAAGATCGGACAAGTTGTATTGGGAGGTTGTGTCAGGGGTCATACGAGTGGCCTTTGATCCTATGACGTCTCAATCAGCGTTGACATTTCTAGGGGTTTACCTACAACTCTGTAGAACTTGACGTAACAGACCATTTCACTTGCTAATTCCTCACATCAACTAGAACGCCTGTTATATAAGAACTCCAGATCCTAGTGTTGTGAAGACAAGTAAAACGAAATTTTAAACTATAAAAAACGAAACGAAATAGGATCTGTCTTTTAATCAGATTGTTCCCCTCTGCGACACTTGCACTTTAATCCAGAATACCTTTTATGTTTTAAAATGCATTTCGGGGTGGCTGATTTGAACGATTGTTTATCATGAGTGGAAAACTGGGTGTTGTTTCATTGTAAAAGTTCATTTCTATTGTATTTTACTCTAACAACTGCATCATTTTTCACACACATACTAATCACTATTATAATTCACTCATTTTCATGGAGAGAGAGAGAGAGGAGGGGGGAATGGGGTTTAACCTCCACTTGGCACAAAATAGGGTCATTTCGGGACTAAATAATTTTTTTTTATTTCTTTAGCAGTGGGGGGAAACCGGGGGACTCGGAGAAAACCCACGAGGTTCGACAGACGACCCTACTCCTTGTCACGTACAACCGGGGATTCGAAACCACGCCAGTTGACTCAATAACAGGCCTTATGATACAGCGCGCACGTGCTAACCATTCGACAATCCACCCCCCCCCCCCCTCATTTTGATGGACTAATTTCTATCGATAGATAAGCCCACGTGAATTAACTATTTAAATTATTTTCTATTTAAAACTCTATATTATTATAAATAGGTACCCTGATCTAAATTTAGGACAATTCTTTGTTTGATCGTATATAATCAGGATTTCTTTATGATCTCCCATAACTCCACCGAGGACTCAAGAATAGAGATATTGCTTGTATTCACAGCTGTATCTGTGAATAACATAGCAGGTCATGTCAGTATTTACAGATTTATGAGTAAACAGTGATAATCTTCGGTAATAACCACAAGACTGGAACTATCCTTGAAACTATTTATTACCGAAAAACATTAAACATCATATACGGAGAACAGTATATCCAGCAAGCAGAGTAACTGTCCTGGAAACGGGATGAAACCTAGAATCCTATATAAATGTACAAATCGGTATTTATAATAAAATAGTAATATACACCAACTATACCAATAACAATTAAAGAGGAAAGATTTAAATATAAAAGACATTACAATAAAATAAAACAATAAGGTAGTAATTAAACTCATTAATGTGTCAGCTGTCAGCCGTCTGTCAATAGATTACTATAAAATCAGGGATTAACAGAAATATAGGAATAATAGAAATGTTTAATTGAATGGATGAATAATAAACGAAAGAATAAAATAGAAACAGTTCATAAATTTATCACCATTATACTACCATAAAAGACAAATACAGAATCTAAGAACACACATATTCACAAATAACAAAGCGTATTAGTTTAAAAATTTTCAAATTGATCAAATTTCACTTAGGTAATGGTCACTTGAAGTTTACTTGTTTGTAATAAATGTCATTATCGCTGCCCACCCTCAATATTTTCCAAAAAGAAAGTTATTTTAATCCCTGTCGTAATTCATTTTGTTGATGACGTACTGGATAGTAAATTTGTTACTTTAAAATACAAGACAGGCAATTCCTTGTAGAATGGACTGATTGTAATACAAATGATTATAGCAAAGTTAAAATACAATAAAATATTTATTTACATTAGATTTTAACTAGCCCTTTTCTATACCCTTCTTTTCATTTGTTTTAGATTATTTACAAAATGGGATCTGCTGAAACTAAATCCGTGCCTGTGTTAATTGACAAAATTCAAGCTGAAATACGCACCGGAGTTGAAGATTGTGAGGGCGTGATTGGATGTACTAGTAAAAGAGAGTATGGTGGATTTTTTTATTTGAAAAATAATGCCTTTGACAATGAAGCAGAAAATGTGGGCCCATCTCGGGCAACCCGTACCGAAACGGGTAAAAATAAGTTTTCCATAATAGAGAAAAGGAAAATTTTAGGCAGCACGAAAATATCTACATCACACTTTTTGAAATCAACTATTAACCAACCACGGTCGCATCAACAATGGCTTGGAACAGCAAAGATTGAACTTTGGAAAGGGTGATTTTATTGACATCCATGGCATCGTCGTC